GTACATTGTAGGAGTGAACCCTATGGCCCAAAGCTCCACCAGCTCATACTACAACCCCATGCTTATGATGTGTCAGAACCTCTATGGCAGCAGTGTGACAGGAATGGGGGCCGGCTTTCCCATCTATAACCAGTACTTGTACCACTACTGCTACGTGGACCCGCAAGAGGTACCATTTAAAGTTACAGGATGTTTCAAAATGTCTTTAGACACTACATTAAATTTATGTTTTCTTTAAAGTCTACAATCAAAGGATCGCCACTGACCATAATTTCAACTCCCCCAGTGTGTCAATCCGTACAGGAAGTGCATTTTTTCATTAAGATTTTCAAAAACATTGTAAAAGAAATCTATTTGATTTGAGTGGTTTAATCCAAGTCCTGTGAAGAGATGTGATCACTTCATTCGATGAACATATAATTTAGGCTTTTAGTCACGTATAAACATTGATCAGCGCATCTAAATAGGGCTCATCAAATATGGCAAATGGATGCTCGAACACACTTGATTCTTGATTGACATGTGAAACAAAACTTTAATGGGTTTGGACCGACATGAGGGTGAGTAATTGATGACAGCATTATTTCCTTAAAACAAAATAAAATATATAGTTAATTAAATTATAATTATAGTAGTTCACTTATAATTTTTGTGGAAACTGTGACACATTACAATTCAACAGTTAACAGTAATATATATATATATATAATCAATTAATGAAGCACATCATGTTAAGATTTTTTTCCCCAGTATATTTCAGAAGTATAACCATATGAAAAAGTAGTCCCTCCTCAAAAGGACAATTTTACACCTCAAATTAAATAAAAAAAAATTTAATGGAAAGATTAATCCAAATGCTAAATATGAATTAGGCTTCAATTGTGAGTGCATTACTGTAAACACATTTTCTGTTCTTTTTTGCAAGCTAAGAAACTAAATAATTCAATGAAGAATCAAAGTAATTGTCTGTAGTAATCAATACATATTATGTTATTAATAGCCCAGAACTTTCATTTCAAGATAGAACTGATCATGAGAGTGAGATGATTATTGTAGTATACTAAATCAGTTTAGTATGATACATAATTTAAAGTGACGTGTAGCCATGTATGGTGTCCCATACTCTGAATTTGAGTAGAATAGTGAACACACACACACACACACTGTGAACACACACCCAGAGCAGTGGGCAGCCATGTGCTGCAGCGTCCAGGGAGCAGTTGAGGGTTTGGTGCCTTGCTCAAGGTCTCACCTCCGTTGTGGTATTGATGGTGGAAGAGAGCGCTGTACATTCACCTCCCACCTGCTGGTACTGAGACTCAAACCCACAACCTTTGGGTTGCAAGTCTGACTCTCTAACCATTAGGCTACGACTGCCTAATTTATGTATGCATACATAATAATCTGAGCACCAGAACGGCCAGGCATGAGTATAGTTTCTTCCCTCAGGCAATCCATCTCATGAACAGTTAACTTTGCAATAAACGTGTAATACCCAACACTACTTATACATTTATTAATTTAATACACATACCTCTTTTTACATTTTCATTTCCTTGCATTTGTACATAACACACCTGTACACACAAATACCATCTATTGTCTACTTTGTATATTGTGTTTTTTTTTTCGTCTTGTCACTGTCATTCTGTTTGTGCTGTGGAAGCTTCTGACACCAAAACAAATTCCTCGTATGTGTAAACATACCTGGCAATAGAGCTCTTTCTGATTCTGATCATTTATGTATGCATTGGACTTAATACTACAATTTTGTCATTCTCAGGCAGTTGCAATGGTTTGTGGGTTCATGGTTGTGGTGGCACTGGCTGTGGCGGCCTTCTTCTCCTATAGGACCAGAAGTAAAATCAGGCACTACGGGAAACCAAACATCTACTGGGATGGACCACTAATGGGAGGACCCGAGGGCAGAGATGTGGAGGATTGGGTGAGTTTATTTATCACCTCTTAGTGCATGGAGGAAGAAACACATGGTCACTAATTGAGTGGCACACCCAGATCAAAATGGCATGAAGTGTTTTGCCTAAGTATCAGGCTTATTGCTAGTCTTTGCAGCAAACAGCTGCAACACCAAGTACTTTGCAGGGGAAATGCCCATGCATTTAATTGTCCAAGTTATATATATAGGCTCTAGTAGCATCCCAGCAACCATCCATGGGACAAGCAGTTTAATTATTCTAAATAGTTTGTGAGAGTCAATCTAGACCTTTTGTTTTGGTAGACTGGAAGCGGTTTGAAAGTGTGTTTTGAAGTCATATATCCTTTAATAGTTTCAGTGGCCTGTGCGACACTGGTGATAATTCAGTCACAAGGTTAAATGTGTTGCTGATACAGTCTCTTTGTTAACAGCCGGCCTAGTTTCGCTGTGATTGATCATTAACCAAACTGAGAAAGTCAAGTGGCTTTTAACTCCTTGGGTGGATGACTATGAATGACTAAACTTTTGTAATACCAAGACAGTTAGAAAGCATACTTGAATTATCTTTTTTTTTACAGTTCGAATAATAAATTAAGTGTTTAGGTATAAACACATTTCTTAGAAGTATTTTTCAATGGCTGAGACAGATGTAAGTGTATATTACTGATTATTATATGTATATTTAAAGAGTTATTTATTTCAATAATTGACTTAAAAGGACAGGAAAATACATTTACAGTCTTAAAATATGTTTTGGCTAAATGCCAAATATGTATTGTATGTACAATATGAATATAATTTTAGGAAATATAGTTCTCAGATTGAAAATATATTTAGTTTAAACCTTCAAATGCCAAATATATTATTATATTATTAAGCCTTCAAATAAATTACAAAATGTACTTTTGGGTAAATGCAAAATGTTTTTAATATAGTTTGTACAATATAAATATATAGGTAGAAAACTAGAAAAAAATATAAAAATATGTTAAAATGGTTAAAAATAATGAAGAGAAAATATAAGTTACTAAAATTATATAACTAAAATATATTTTTGTATTTTATCTACTTTAGCAATACTTTTGGGGACATATTTTGAAATATTTTGGAAAAAAAAAATATCTGAATATATATTTTTGCCATGTGGGATTAGACACAAAACATCTGAATTTAGATGAATGTTTATTTACACATTATGTACTGAAAATGTGACAAAACTGTCAGTACATTCTGGGACTGAAAAAACTGTTCATCAGCCATGTGGGTATTGTTATAATCTAATGCTGATTGTTTTAAAAATAGCCAAATATCAGCCAATTTATCATCTTAACTAGTATAATAACCATTGTCTGTTCCCATTGCAGTTATGGTTTTATTTTTGTTACAGAACAGTGTGCTTAAGTGATACAGTACATAAGTGCTATGGAAGAGAACAGGAGTCATGTTGTGTGTGTGTGTGTGTGTGTGTGCGTGTGTGCATCAATCAGTACTATTGCATTATTGTGAGTCTTTCTTATTTAAAAAACAGAAGCAATTCAAGCAATAAAGGTTATTCAAGAAACAGACATTTTGTAATAAAAAGATCAAGGGAACTTTAATTTAAATATCATCAATTGAAATAAAGTCAGATGACTGTGTGTCTCCTCATAACAAAGAAAAATAACAGATGCGATATCTTTAGCGAGAATAAAAGTTACGCCTTCTTTCTTTGCGTGAACATTTGGGCGGTGTTATGCAAATCTTCCCACATCCTGATGTAGACATTTGGGGGCGTGTTAGAACACGCCGTTTTAGGTAGGCGTGGTTGACTCTTAACTTTTATAAAGAATATCTCTTTGGATTTGAGACTTTAGTCTTTGCAACTTTACAGATCTTCTTTATGCACCAAGAGCTTGTAACACTTCAAAGAGAAAGGAAAAATTGAAATCGCATCATATGACCCCTTTAATTGTTTTTCCTAGACAGATATACTAAGATTAAATGAGAACAAATTGGGACCTCCAGCATTTCAGAAGAGATCAAACACTGCTCAGATTTACTAAGATACCAAAGTTTGCAATCAAAAGTCAACTCAAACATCACATTTTTCCAAAATCATTCATAACTCTATAGCTCTGTACTTTTAATGTGTTACAATTGTTTCTATTTTTAATTCTAGGAATTTTAGAAGACATGTCTGAGACGAGGTTGATAATTAAATAAGCTTTAAACTGAGAATACTGAGCTAAAAATGAGCAACCTCTAGTAAATCTTTCGTCCGGGTCTACAGGTTGTTAATGAACCCATAGCTGGTGGTGAAGGCTCCGTTGGGGTGGGGTTTGATTTTGGATTAAGTCCACTGGAAACATAATTACTACCATCATGAGACTGGTCTGCCTCTCTCTGCCCTGGTGCTTTCAGTAAATCTATGAGCTCTGAAAGCATTCCAAACACTCCCTTTAAGAACATTTCATTCCTTGCCTTTCTATCTCTCCTTCTCATTTTTCTGGTGCAAAAGGAGGTCACGAGCATGAAACGTCCCTCTTTTCTGTGTTCTCAAGCATTCTTTCCCTGCTTATGTAGCGTGATCATGGATCAGTGGTGGCAGTAGCTCATGCAGGGAAAGCATTGTTGGAATTCCTGGATGATTTGGCCTCTTCTACACAGTGGCTTTTCCCCTTCTCCCCAGCTGCAGGGAAATGCTCCTCCACCCTCTTTCCTGCTGCGTCCTCCCTTTTAACACACACACACACACACACACACACACACACACACACACATATACCTTCACGCAAAACCCCTTCAGAACAAAACAAATAATTCCGCTGACACGCACACCTGACTTCATTGTTTTAGCATTGTACTGCTCGGAATTGTTTTCCTTATGGTTTTTACTTATATCCATACAGCCACTACTTCTTTCACCTTTTTGCTTTAGAAAAAAAGTATTATAAGTCATATTGTGCCAGAAATCTAAACTATTGGCATTGTGTGTTTGTCACAAAACATTGACTTACATACTGAGAACATCCTCTGAAATCAAACTTCAACAGGAAGAGCAAGACCACTTTAGCTTCTTATTCCCTGCGGTCTTTCCTGTACAGTAGCAGAAGGAAGATAAAGTCTAAACAATGGATCTAAAATGGTTTCTGTGTTGCTATAATGTTCTGTACACAATGCAATTTCGAAAGTCTGCGATCAAGACAGATTTATGATGTTGTTAATAGTGTATTGTTTGTGCATTATAGTAATATACATAACAGTTACTTACAGTCAGTCATAAGCTTTTACAAGTAAAATTATCTGTTATTTTTTACGTTATATTAAGTCACTTTTCCAAACAGATTTTTAACATTTTATTTTTCAGATTTACACTGCTGATCAAAAGTTTTTAAAGAAAATGTATGTGACAAAAAAAATCTGTTTCAAATTAATGTTATTTTAAACTTTCTATTTGTCAAAGAATCCTAAAAAACGCATTGCTTTGCACACAAGTATTAAATGCTTTTCAACACTGATAATAATAAGAAATGTTTGAGCACCAAATCAGCATATTAGAATGATTTCTGAAGGGTCATGTGACACTGCAGACTGAAAATAAAGATTTGTCATCACAGGAATAAATTACAATTTGAAATCTATTAAAACAGAATAATAATATTAATATATAATAATAATTATAATAATATTTCACAATATTGCTGTTTCTACAGCATTTTTCATCAAATAAATGAAGCCGTGGTGAGCTTCTTTCAAAAACATTTTAAAAATCTTACCGAGCCAACCTTTTGAATGGTATTGTATGCTTAAATACAGCACCTGCAGAAAAACAGATTGTTGAGTGATAAAGAGTGTGAAGCCATTATGATTACACATTTATTTCACATTACATTTATTATTACTGCGTATAACTGCATTGTATATCAATCAATGCAATACAAAAGTTTCCTCAAGGCTTGGCAGCAAAACATAACAGTTTTTGTCCAAAGATCACAGATAGTGTGGAATATGGTCATGAAAAACTAAAATATGTCGATTTTTGCTAACATTATAAGCAGACCTGAGGGAATTATTTAAATGATACAATAATGTAAGACCCTTAAAGATGCTACTGTTCATCAAACAAAAGAGACTTAACCATTTCAAATTCATGTTCAAATATCTGTTATCTGCTTTTAGTTCTTCTCGCTTGCTTTATTGTTTGTGATGACTTTTCGCCTTTCATTATCTGAAATATGTTGCTTCCTGATGTTTTGCACGTCATGCTCTCTGTTCAGATATGAATCAATGTTTGCAGACTTTGTACTAAACAGTTTGTTCCTTTTTCAGGTCAACCATGTACAGGATGGACAGAGCGTGCAGGAGGCATCCATGGTGTTTTCAGAGAAGATGGCTCCTGTTTTGGCTTCGGCCCCCAGTGTCGGCTCCATCCCCCTAAAGACTGGCAGTTTCTTTAACTCTGAGTCCCACAATGTTATCGGGTGAGTGAGTGAGTGATCCGACCCTGGGATAGCTGGAAACTTTCAAGCTGAGCTCCATGTCAACAGGAGCTCAAATATTGCATGTCCCTGCTAAGGAAATGCTGGAGCTTACTTTATTGCTTAAGGCCTTAATAAGTCATTCCAGTTTTACATACTGTACACTAATGATCAAAAGTTTGGGGTCTTTTATGCTGATCAACAATGCATTTATTTGATCAAAAATAGAGTAAAAACCTATATTGAAATATTTTTACAATTTATTACTACAGTGTTCGTTGTCACATGATCTTTTAAAAGTCATTCTAATATGCTGATTTGGTGCTCAAGAAACATTTATTATTATCATTGTCAATGTTTTTTTCTGCATTTATTTGAAATAGAAAGTTTCTGAATAATATAAAGCTCTTTATTGTCACTTTTGACAATACACTTTTGACAGTTTAATGCATCCTTTTTAAATAAATATATTAATTTTTTTTGTTATCTTAAAGACCCAAATTTTTTGACGGCAGTGTATAGTTACTCCTGGTTCAAACTAGTCAGTGGCATTTTTTTTTGTGACCTTGGTTAGCTGATGTTAAATCATCAGTGCTACTGTGCTTTCAATAGTTGTCTGGATCATTAATCTGCCTAATGGTCTAGCCATTAGTTTCATGAAGTCAGGTCAGATTACACCAAATATGATGTGTCTTGGCATGAGATCAAACTTTCTGCATTTTTTTAATCAGATGTTCTTTCATTATAATTTGTTTTTAAATTATGTCTGTCCCTCCTTGTCCCTTGTCCTGTTCCATTTTTCTATAGACATTGTTGGCAAAAATCCCTTTTAAGAGTAAAAACTATGTAAAAGATGATTGGCCACCCATTTTTTTTTTTTTTTCATTTAAGAAATTTAAAAAAGAGTATTCTGTAATTTGACCTAACATGTTTATTGGAAAACACAAAAACATTACAATGAAGGGCAATGAAGAAAACATATGGCTTATTAACACAGTGAAATGTGAGACACCAACCAGACATTTGAAATTAATGAGCAAATTACATTTTCTCTTATTTCTGTCAATGCTATGTTTAAGAACAGTGTTTAGTAGCCTAAATATCATTATCTCAGCTAGAAAAGCATTGTACTTATGAAGCGTCCTCACAAATATTACTTCTAATATGCATTTTCTCATTCAGTTCATTAATTTTCCTACAATAACTGCACAGTCTTGAACCTATGGAAGTTTATTTCCACCACGGAATAAAAAAATGTAAAATATCAGTTTATATCTCACAATTCAGACTTTTTTTTTTTTCAGAATTGAGAGATATAAAATCAGAATTGCAAGAAAAAGTCAATTGCGAGGTTTTTTTTCTTAGAATTGTGAGTGTACATCTCACAATTCAGATTTTTTTTCTTAGAATTCTTAGATTCCAAAAAGACAGAGAAACAAAAATAGGATTCCGAGATGTAAACTCGGAATTCTGAGAAGAAGAAAAAAAGACAATATTGCGAGATTCAAACTCACAATTGTGAGAAAAAAGTCTGAATTGTGAGATAAAAACGCAATTCGTTTTTTTATATTTTTATTCAGTGGCAGAAATAAGCTTCCATATAAACCATTTCTCTTTTTGGATAAAGTAGTAACAATTTTTCCACCCACAGTTACCCTGAGCGCTCTTTTAGCCGCCCATCTCACTCCACATTCCCATCTGGAGAAGTGAGCTCCAGCCCCTCCGACCAGACAGACACCATCCACAAACCGTCCGCCTCCAGGGGCAAGAGGCGCAGGAGGAACTCTGAGCTGGACGAGTCCCAGTACGAAACAGAGTACACAACGGGAGGAGAGACTGCCAATGATTTTGACGAAGATCTATGGACACGGTGAGGATTTGTTGTGGTTCAGGCTCAGGGTTAGTAGCGCACTCCTAATTTTTTTTGGGAGATAATCATCTCTGGTAGGCATGTCCACACGCTAACATAATAGACTAAATTTGGGTTAATGTGTCAAAGGTCTTTGCATATGTATGCATGTTTATATGTGTTGTTTGATGTGATGAGTTGAAAAACAGATGTGGTTTCACTCATTGTTGGACCACGAGAAGAAAATCAGGCCTCATTTGTTAACATTACTGCATTAACTAACATGAACTAACAATGAACGATATATTTTTAGAGTATTCATTAACTTTTGGTAAAGTTAGTTATACTTGTAATGTTAAAATACTTGTATTCACTGCATTATGGCTAAATATTCTCACTATTTTGCTGTTTTTTGACACAAATTAAAAATACTGGGTTGAAAGTTTGAGTGGCCACTTAGTAACAAGTTGACCTTAAAGAGTTAAGGCATGGTCACATTAGCAAAATTTCAGTGTATGCTGGTACATATTTCACATTAGGGAATTACTCCAAATAGTGGTATTTTACATTAGCAAAAATTTGGCAAATGGAAGTATTTCACATAAGTGAATTTTTTTGGTAAATAGTAGTATTTCACATTAGTAAAATTTCTGTGAATGATAGTATTTCACGTCAGCAAAATTTCTGCAAATGGTTGCATTTTACTTTAGCAAATGTCTTGGAAAATAGTAGTATCTCACATTATTGAAATTTCTGCAAATGGTTGTATTTCACATTAGAAAACTTCTTGGTGAATTGTAGTTGTTCACATTAGAGAAATTTGCTAAACTTTTCAAATTTGCAAAATTTTGGCAAATGGTTGCATTAGTGAATTTTTTGACGAATGGTAGTATTTTCACTTTTTTCACTTTATTGAAATTTTTGTGAATGGTAGTATTTCACATCAATGAAATTTTGGTTTGCCATAGCGTTTCAAATTAGTACAATTTTGGCAAATGGTAGTATTTCACATTAACGAAATTTTATGAATGGTGGTATTTCAAATTAGCACAATTCTAAATACCACAGACCATTTTCAAACCAAGCAGCTTTTTGTTTGTCAACACGGCAAATTTGCATGACCATCTTGAACTAACTTGAAATCTGGATTTGGAATATTTATGCCCTCACTGATTGTGCATATTCCTATTCAAATGTCTGGATTTAGCTGGTGAATTTTCATGTGTGCACCTTTACTCGGTTCACTCCAGAGGGATTGTTGCTAAAAAGTGTTTCTGTCTATCCGTTTCTTTGGATAAAAGTTTATTAAATAACCACTAAATGACTATTGATCTAATTTATCTTAAAGCTGAAAATACAAGTTGACTGCTTTCTGTTTCATTCCCAATCAGTCTATATCCAGAGATCACATCTGATGCCCAGCGACACGAGTATAAGAAAGAGTTTGACTCGGACCTCAGGACCTATAAGGAACTGTGTGCCGAAATGGATGACATCAACGATCAGATAAACAAACTCAGCAGAGAGCTGGACACACTTGAAGAGGGCACGTCCAAGTACCAGGTGAGCGACTGAAACATTTCAGATGACTACTTCACCTCCCTGTTGTTCACATCCATATGACTTTCTTTTTTATCTCACATTACAGGCTGTAGCCGAGGAATATAATCGTCTCAAAGACCTAAAACGGGTGAGTCATGGTGATAAAACTGAAGTATGACTAAACATCTGACTCATGTTCATAGTAATAGATGCTCTGCTTTTTTTGATGCTAATATGAGGCTTTCTTTCCCCTATTCTCTCTGTTTAGATGGCAGATTATCAAAACAAGAAGCACCAATGTCGCAAACTGCGCCACAAGCTTTTCCATATGAAACGAATGGTTAAGATCTACGACCGCAGTCAGTAATAATGAGCTCCATTAAACCACGACACCTGCTCTCCTTGTTAAACACTTCTGCATTTAACTGACAAAGCCTTCAAATGACTGTGTGACCAAAGTTGCCCGAAACTGCTGTAACCATGGCTTCACCCAGTGCTTATGATTAACCTGAGCCCTAAAGATGATTGGAAACAAGGACCAGAGATTCCGAAAACCGGTCCTTCCAAAGTCTTTCCATTACCTGGAACTTGTTCTTTCACTGGAAACATCTGCTTTTTTTTAGAGTGAGTGACTTCATATAGCCTGTAAAATGCCATAAAGCATAAAAATATTGTTGTTCTGTTTTTTTGTTGGGTGCGGTTGTGAGTGCTAACTTCAAGGTCAGCTGATTACAGCGGTGCATGTGTTTGTTGGAGGAAATGTACTTTGGACAATCCTCTCCAACTGAGTAATTTGCACCTGCATTGGCATCTACGCAATCAGTTTCCTTGTGTATGACTGTAAATGAGTTGTGTATTTTATTGTCTGTAAAGGTGTAACTGTGGGGCACTGCTTGTTTTCAAGTCAGAAAACACAAAAGATTTCGTTTCGAGGTGTGCTAGAATAGTTCCCAGAAACAACTGATGTATTTAGTTGGGCAATTGTGTCCTAATGGTTAGAGAGTCGGACTTGTAACCCAAAGGTTGTGGGTTTGAGTCTCGGTACTGGCAGGGATTGTAGGTGGGGGGAGTGAATGACCACAACTGAGGTGAGATCCTTGAGCAAGGCACCGAACCCCCAACTGCTCCCCGGGTGTCGCAGCAAAAATGGCTGCCCACTGCTCTGAGTGTGTGTTCACGGTGTGTGTGTGTGTGTTCACTACTCACTGCTGTGTGTGTGCACTTCGATGGGTTAAATGCAGAGGACAAATCCAAGTATGGGACACCCTACTTGGCCACATATCACATCACTCACTCATTTAAACATGCAGACCATTACAGAATATTCTCTTTTTTAACAACTGACTGCCTCAGAAAAAGAAGAAATGGAATTTTAAATCACAAAGATATTTGATATTCAATTGTATATTCAATTTCATATTCAATTGTAATTTTAAAATCGAGTTTGGAAAAAAACAAAACCTTACTAATGGTGCACTATGTAAATATGAAAATGTATGCAAATTTGCAAGGGTTCTGTTCATTTCGTTCTAGATGTTTATATCTCATTGCATTTGATTCATTTCAAAATGTGATTTTCACACTATTTAAAACAATAATAGCTGCTTTTATCTCTAACTAATCAAATATCTATGCAAGATCAAATATTGAAGTTCTGATTGTTTTGTAATGTTGTTATGGACAACAAGTAAGTTTTGTTCAGTTTTTTTTTTTACTCATGTAAAATATTTTGTACGAAAACATTTAAAGTGGTACAGGGCGTTCATTTTCGGCTGTTAATGAGATAATGCTGTTTGTTTTTCTCACGTGCATAACATTTATTTTCATCTGTACATATTTGTTGTCCTTTCTATTTTCAATAAAGTTTTGTATTTTAAATTTTACATCTGTTTTTAAAAGTATAGCTACGGCTGTAGTAAAGCGTATTTAGAGGGTAAAGTTTGGTTTTCTTTTATTAATACAGAACAGAAAGAAATGTAGTGGTTACAATTGAATTTAAATAAATTACATTTGAATTTAAATAAATTGAATATTAATGTCTTATATGAGATCATGTATGTATTTACTATAATAAATAAAATACATTTTTCGGTTTACGACGGTAGAGATTTAAGTAAACGGAGTAAAAAAAAGTTAGACAATAGTACCCTCTGCTGGATGTCTTTTAAATAACAAGGCAAGGAGAATAACTCAATTTCGGTAATGTTACGGAAACATACGATAAGTGTTTCGGTCTCGTTCGGGAACGTTACGGAAATACACGATCGGTAATCACTCCGCGACAAAAGGCTAATAACTAAATTACCAAGACGTGTGAACGCCGATTGGTCACCACGAGATTCACCGCACTCCTGTCCTGACTGCTGAGGCGAGGGCATTCACTGAACCAGCAACGACATTCACAAGCATCAAATGAGGTTGTGATGTAGAAAAACTTTCGGAGGATATTTCGAAAGGTTAAACAGAAAGGTATGTGACTTACATCTTAGTAAACGTTATATTCTGTCATTGGCAGTGGTGCACCTGCTATATTTAATGACTTTTGGATATGCGCACACCTGCGTAGCCTAATATTATGACTGCATTGCGCTTCTCTGAGTTTGGAGTGTATTATGACGTCTTCATTCATCATCTGCTTTTTTGTCATCTGGAATAACGCACGTTCTGCATAAACCTAACGGAAGTATAAGTAGACTATATTATTTGGGTTTTCTAAATGATAGTTTTTCTCAAATTAAATGGTCATATTAACTATGAGTTTATTATTATTGTTATTATTATTATTAATAATAATATTAATTATTTGTATTAATAAAATGCAAATACATGATATTGTTATTTTAATGACAACGAAGGATTCTGTCTTCAGCAGCTTTTTTAAACTACATCCAACACCACCTACTCACTCTTGCTCAAAAATACACACAGGTCTGTACTGGTTTAATTCGCTTAAAGGATCAGTGGGGTTTCGAGAGATCTGCACCTTGTGCTCCTTCACGTGGTTTGTGTGTGTGAATCTGTCAGTAGCTCTTTAATCTGTCCCTGTTCCCGACCTGACACGTGGCTTGACAATGCCAACACAGACTGAAAACAACAGCGTAGACAGAGAGTTTGATTAATTGTTATAAAACTGTACCGATAGATGGAGTGGCTGCTAATGCGTCTTAGTGGTTGCTAGGGTGTTGCTATGCAGTTTAGTGAGTGTTCCGGTTGTTTCTAGGGTGCTGTTGATGTCTTTTAGGGTACAAAGCAATAATAAATGTATTGTTTATTTAAATATTTATATTTAAAACTGTCAAATGATGTGGTGATATTGAATTGGTCCTATGTTATTTTCCATTCTGTTATATAAAAAAAGAAAGCTTATTAGGTCAATACAAGACAAAGGTCTGATCCAAGTTTGGAGGATGTAACTCTAGTCTGACAGTTTTTTTTTTTTTTTTTTTTTTAGAATAATAAGCTTAAACACACCACCAGTTTTTCTAGCCACTAAAATAAATAGTTACCTTGTGCACATACTTCACTTTAAGGTACTGCTGATCAGTAATGAAGTCAGTGTATGGAGTTTGTGATCTATATGGCAGTGCATTTTTTCTCAGTGCACCATGTAAATGTGCAAACTTTCGTCTCCTTCATTAGTCATGTTCATTCATCTAAGTCAGCAGTTTTATTTGATCATAAATGGATAAAAGTGAGCTAATTAAGAGCCTAAATAAAACATATTGCACACCAGAAGAACATGATTGGGCACATAATTTAGTAAAGAGTATAGCGGATCATTAATAAAGCTTATCAGAGTCCAGACATGTTCATTCAATCAACAAGTAGTTAATCATAAAAAAATGCGAGTAAGCTGAAATAGTTTCTTTGGTGACATTGCACTGCTGTGCCAAACAGAAAACAAGTGTGTGTGTGTGCACCAAACTAACATAAAATTAAGGAATTTACATATTTCATAGTGTTGTATGCGTGGTTTCCTAGGGATTTATGACATAGTGTCAATCCATTTTTATCAGTGCATAATGTAAATGTACAAATGTATTTATAGGAGACCCACTGTTTTCTTTCTTGTTGTCTAAAAACAGGAAATAAACTACAGTTAATCTGAAAAATGCATGCAAGACTACAATGAAAACCTGGGATTAAAATCGAATTGAAATCTGGAACTAAACAGAAAGACTAAGGTGTAATACAAGACTTCTTTGCCTTACAAATAGTTGTCGAAAGCAAAAATGCTACAAAATGCACACATTTGTTGAAAAAAGTGTGAAAAAAATGTGCATTGCATGTTCGTTTTTTTCCCTTTCAAATTGATTTTTTTTTTTTTTTTATCTCAAATTGTCATGATGATCATTTAATTTGTAATTTAAAATGTTTCATTAAATTAGAAAAAATGTGAAATGGAAGCTATTTCACTGGTGGTCTCAGACATTTGGGCTATGTTGTATGTATATTGTAAGCTGCTTTTTAGCATTGGTGTGTGTGAAGATTTGGGACTGGAATAAGGAATCGACTGATTGTCGAGGTGCTCTGGCAGGTTGTGTGGGTGTGCTGGAGAAACGCTGAGAAGACGTGCTGATTCAGCACCATTACATCCCACTCTGTCCCCTAGCGTCCATTAAAAGTGCTCTCTCTGCTTCCTTGGGTCTCTCTGGACCTGTACCCACTGTCGTAACGAGCCAATCAGAGCAGAGCCGCAGAGTGATCAAAAAATAATGCGTTGTTGCAGGTTGAGTCTGTGTTGAGTTTGCTGAGTTTTGAAAGTAAGGCTTTTTGCAAACCCCTCCCATCTTTCACAGCTGTTACACTATCTTAAACCTTTGAAATCTCTCTTTTCCCATCTTTTGCTGTTTTCTGCATTCCGTCTCTTTCAGATTTCTAATAGGGTCACATCAGCCTGTCCAATATGATGAAAGATTGCCTTCAGTTTCTCATTGAGCCAGCCAAGAAGCTCAAGTTTCGTCTGAAGGTACAGTGGGTCATTCATTCATTAATTCATTCATTCATTCATTCATTCATTCATTCATTTGTTGCATCAGAGGACTTTTTTTTCAGTAATTCAGTGAAACTCATAATATCAGGGTGGGGTTTTTTTTTAATTACAGGCACTTTTGTTAAATATTATATAATTGTGTGTATTTGGGATAGGCTGCATAAAATGCTAGCTATGAACTTCAACTATTTTTATCAAAACAAACTTAGTTGTGGCGTCATTTACACCACAACCATCAATATTTCCTGCTAATAAAGTAGTGTACTTGTTTATCAATGAGACATAATGAAATGTGAGACATGTGGAGTATGAAGAAAATAAGAAAAATTAAGATAAATATAATTTGTGAACAGAATATATTTTTGCCACTTTTATACTGAATACAGTAATTTACAGTCAAGCCAAAATTGTCAAAACATGAAAAAATTGTGAAAATATTATTTAATTATTTAATATGAAAATATGATATACAGTAATTGTATTTAGAATAAACTACATAAAATGTGAGGCACAACTACAGGCTTTTTTGTCAGACGAGTTGACTTCTATAAAAACTAGTTTAATTGTGGCATCATTTTCATCACAATAATTTTTCCTGCTTCAAAATGAAATATAAGATGTGGCGTGTGAAAAAAAAAAGAAAAGGAAAATTAAGAAAAATATCTCTTGTATACTTGAATAGGATATTTTAATTTCTTTGGATTTTTATTTTGACGATAATCAATTCCAGTCGAGCTGTAACTGTTGAACTTGTGCAAAATTTTTTTTAAATATTGTTTAATTATTTATTAAATATGAAAATATTATTTAATTGTGTATTTAGGATAAATAAAATGCTAGCTATGAAATTAGTCGGCAGTTATAATCCAGCCCATAATGTAACAATACAAAATTTGAAATGTGGTGGAGATGCTCATGACTTTAAGAAAAAAATAATAATATAGCATTTATAAGTTTAGCTATTATATTCCTTGGTGGAGCTTTAGTTACTCCATAATTCCCAAATGTCTGTGCAGGAGACGCGGAAGAGAGTGAAACATGTAAAGAAAGAGCCATTAACAGAGAGTCAGCTGTTTATAATGGAGCTCGCGCGATTACTCAACAGGATCTGTCAGGTAAGACAAATATATTGTTGCATTGTACCTGCTGTACCTGGCTTTTCTCTAGCTGTTTAGAATCAGGGTCAATAAATGAATCCACTACCATCAACTACATTTCTACACACATTTGCAAACTCTGTTTATCCCTGTTGGAAGCTCTTATGCTGATGTCTTTCAGAGGTCAGATATTCTGGCTCACATCTGGACCGGAGAGGACGTTTGGCCTCCGCACACCTGTCGAGAGTTCATTGTGGAGACCGCCAACATCCTGGAGATGAAGGTTAGAACCTGAGCTGAAATGAATCACAGGCAGCTGAATTTACTGAATTGTACTTCAACAAATTCAACACACTTATATGTCCTGTTTAAGGTTTATATCTTGTAAGCTGCTTCATCAAGACTAAAATAGAATTTTCTGGAAAATGATTATTCTGGGAAGAAAATTATAATAAAATATAAATGTAATTTGCTATGTGTATGTATAACAATTTATGTGTAATTCATACTGAAAAATGAAATTATTCATATTTTTATGCAAACATTATAAAACATTCAAATCGGGGAAATTCATTTGAATTCTACTTCTTAGTTCAGAAATGTAAAAAGCATTCTCAGCTCATTTCTGAATGATGCACAATCCTGTTCCTCAGTAAATATAGTCGCCTTCCTGTATTCATTTAGCTGCATCCTACAGGAGACACACTCTGTTTTTCAGACAGCTGTTGTTTCTCAGGATCTGCATGGCTTTAATTACAGGCTGATGTTGGTTGGTTTAGAGCCGTGTGTTATATTTAGAAAAAATCCTGCTTTAGAAACAAACTGCCACCAGTCCCCATAGTAACCAGCTAGTCTGTTTCTATCAGGCTGACTGACAGCTCCAGTAGCTTAAGGGTTTAAAATTCTGTCAGTTTTCAAAGGATCAAGCTCTAATCGTGGTTTGTTTTTAAGTTCTAGTATAGTCCACAGTACTTTTGTGTCCTTGAGCTGTAGTTCGCTCCATGGTGTCCGCCTCGTGGATTTAGTGTACTTTTAAAAAAGCTTGTTGTCAGCACATTGCATCTGAGAAATCAAAGTAATTGATTTTTCAGACACGGGCTGTTTATTAAAAAGGTCACTGCATCATAAATGTCAGCTCAAGGGGCTCAAGTTATTGAGGCAATTATTTTCAGAGTTACTGATATTGAATCAAAAATACTGTATGTTGTGAAATTTAACAGTTTTGAGGGATTTAGATCAGAATGTCTCTATATGTGGTTATTTATGTCATAGAGATGATACAGGCATTCAACTGGCCAGATGTAGTTTATATTCATTCCAAAGCCATGACTAGAGATTTCAATATTCAAAAGCACCATAAAAATATCATGCAAGTCCATAACTTGCATGCTATAGTCCAAGTCTTCTGTTTTTTTTTTCTCATTATGCAGGAAAATATTGAGAAGCCCATGCACGTTTATGCGGATCTGCATCCAGAAAAGCGGGACTGGAAGAGTCATTTACTGAGCATGCTGGAGCAGGGTGGAGAATATGACATGGGCCCGTACAAAAGGATCATTATGGACTGGACCAGAGGACAACGCAACAGACACCCAGTGAGGAAGATTCAGAAAATACATCTGCAAATTCACCACCAAAACTAACTTCATGAGGCGCATTCTGGGATGTTTTTCAAACAGTATTGAAAATGTTCATACGTAACATGGAGAAAAAAATATATATATATATTAGAGCTGTCAAAATTAATACGTTAATAACGCATTAACGCAAATTAATTTTAACGACACTAATTTTATTAACGTGCGATTAATGCAGCGCGCACTTTCAGGGTTTCCGCGGGTCCTTAAAGTCTTAAGAGGTCTTAAATTAAGTTGTATCATATTTAAGGCCATAAAAAGTCTTAAATGGTTCAAGAAAGTCTTAATTATGATTTCAAGAGGTCTTAAATTTGGGGAGGGACAGACAAGAATTGCGATATGGCTTAATGTGACGATTTCATTGAATAAATATGAGCGCTGCACGTTTCAAAGTCCGGTGCTGGGCTGCTTTGTTTACAGTCGGAGAAACCGCTATATTTCTGCCATTCCGACAGCGCCATCTGCTGGCAGAGAATGAATCTGCATTTTCAATGAGCCTGTCTCCTGTTTTTGTTCAGACCAATGCGAACATCCACCCATGTTTTTATGCAGCAAACACGCAGTTGTAAATGTGAACTGGTAGATCGATAAGAAGAAAATGCATTATAAAAATCTAAACAATTAAGCCAGTGAAATATAGTTATATGTTATTTAATTAATATAATAATTAATTGATGATAATTGTTTAAATTAATATAATAATTGAGACTTTTGACTTTTTATTAAATTTCTTAAAAATGGTTTAAAAACTTTTTGTTTTTGTGAAAACCTGTATCTGAATTCTTTATGCTCTATGTTGAGTATGGTTTCACTAATAATAAATATACATTTGCATAAAGCACCCATATTTGTCCATGCCCATGTTGATTAGAGTATTAAAAACTTGAAAAGTATTAATTTAAGGTAGATTTAGACAGATAAAAATGTACGATTAAGTTGCGATCAATCACAAGTTAACTCGTGACAATCATGCGATTAACTGCGGATAAATATTTTAATCGATTGACAGCCCTTATATATATATATATATATATATTAAAATAAAAATATAATAATATATAAGTCTACAAATCCAATTTCAGACATTTAAGCATAAGCCTCTAGATCAAAAGGTTTGTATAATAATATAATCAAGCATGTACAAACTTTTGTCTGGTAGTGTTTTTATAGGTCTCTATATAGCAAATAAGTTTATATCCATAAATACATTAATGGCTACATTTTCTCAGGATTAATTGTTTTGTGAGTTTGTAATTTAATATCGGTCCATGCTGTAAATTAAGCATCTTACTCACTCTATAGGTCTTAGTCTCGGGTTGCTCTCTGATTAAGAATTAAGATATTAACCTTGCTATGATCCTCTTGTCAGACGGGGTTAATTACAAACGACCTCACTGACTGACCTGAGAGAGACATGCACAGCCCGTTAAGCTGTATAAATTAGACTTACCACTGATTTCTATTGTTTTTCAGGTAAAATAATGACAGATTTGCCAAACACTCACAGCTTACTGCATACT